GAATGGAGCAGAATGGCCGATGGATGCTCAGAGCAGCTCGCAGTTGAGGCTCGAGTGGCGGCGGAGCGACTTGGAGTGGTGGCGAGTGGAGGCCCCATGCGAGCGCGTGGAGCGGAAGCGGCGGGCGGAGGGAGCGGAGCGGGCGGACGACGAGGCGCAGCTGTAAAAAATAAGGTCCTCCTCCCACGTGCTGCGACGCGATGCGCCCAGGTCCAAGGACCGGCGCGACGAGCAGCGGGAAAGCGGCGCGCTGTCGCTGGTCTCGTCGTCGTCGTCGGTGTTACTGAGCGAGGACTCGAGCATCTGGATGAAGGACTGGCAGTGAAGCGCGCTGAGCTCGCGCTGCGTGTCGAGCAGCTGCAGCTTGCTCTCGAGCGCGCGGATCTCGACGTCTTCCAGCGTGCTCCGGATCACTCGGGAGGCGGCCCGGCAGCTAAGGTCGTGGGTTGTGGAGAGGAGAGTAGCTGAGGATGCCATTGTTGGTTTGGAGGTTCAGAGGAAGTATTGGTTCACGCTGATGGACTAAAAGAGGTGTTTGTGAGGGCTTGGGAGAAGAATGCTCTTTGTAGTGCTTCTGAAGGATAACGAAAGTGGTGTGTGTCTTATCTAGAATATGAAAGGGCAAGAACCTAGAGGGCGTAGCGCGACGGCGCAGCCAATCCAAGACGCGAGGCACGAGGCGAGGGGCTTCTGTTGGAAGGCGAGGAGACGCGCGAAAACCGGGGGCAACAAGCAAGGTCGTTGGGATTATGCACCAGCGGGGCATTGTGTGGCTTGCATTGTGCGGTCGATCCACTCCAAGTCAGCTTCTTCCAGTCAGGTTTCTGTTTCTCCTTGCTTCTGATTTCTCAGAACTGTGCTGACTCGGCGACTTTTTGTCTCTTACAGCCGGATGCTTCGACTGGTTTGATTGCCCTTGGGCTTGGCTCTCCCACACATACACCACGGGCGTTAGTTTCGTTGAGATTCACGAATCACAACGAGCGCCAGGTTCACGATCCGGTTAGAGGAGACGATCGCATTCATGCCGCCAGCTGTGTTACATTGAAGCACGTTTAGTAGTGTGGTTCGACTTTAAATGCTCCCAACGATAAACGAGCGCGAAGTGTTCGTATTGGTCACCATTTGGCGGGAAAGTGAAAGGCCAGCCACACTAATCATAGCCTGAATGTGAGGTCGCTAAAAGTCAAAAGAAATATCCAAGTTTCCAAAACGCTTGCTTCACTGCAGCCCCGGAACACTTACAGTGTATAAATTTGAAGTTATCGTTCGCAAATCTCCCTCACACCGCAAACGTAGGCTCAACAATTGCTGGCAAACCTTATTGAAGTGAGCTGCTTCCGACTTACGGGTTGCAACACATATTTCGTGAAGTTCTCGAATCAAAGAACCCACTCTACGTCTGCCACGGAAGTTCATGAGATTTTCCACCCACAAATCCCTCGCAGCCCTATCTGCCAGCGGAGGAAACCAATCCAACCAAGCAAGGAGCTCGCAGCGAGAACACTCGATTGCGATCTCAAAAGTCGTGGCCCCCTCCCCTTGTCCCCATTCCCTCCCACCATTGTGCTAACTGGCAGCACGTGAACAGCTAACATTGTCACATATCACCTCACCATTGCCAGAATCTCCTGGCCTAGAAACGTCGAATCTCTCGCAGCTTCTTACATCTGTTCCAAACCAACGTACTGCTCCCCGTAGGTGCTTGAGGCGACCTGCAGTCTATGCTCCAGCACACTTCAGCATTCTTAATTCTGAACCAGTCAGCACCACCAGCACTTCGACGGAATTACCTGGACTGTCTGGATGACTCCGACCTGACATGGCCTGACTCGGCAAGAGGGGTTTGAGCTTCCGCCCCGTCTAGAAACAACAGTTGATGCATACACCCTGTTTCTCGCTACACTGAACTGCGGAAACACACTGAACAGTGGAACTGTTCGTTGGACTTATTCGAAAAGTTTACAATAACCGTCTCTAGGAGGCGGGTGATCCGAAATTTCGTTAACCTGGGTACCCTACCGAGCCATATTAAAAGTTCAACTGACCGTCTTCAAAGGTAGCTGACCTCGTCAAACCGAACTGGTGCAAAAGTTGACTATAGCGCGTAATTTGGCGCGTTGAGCCAGAGGGTTCAGTATACCGGAATTCACAATAGCGAGAAACAGGGTGTACCATTGTCACAGCCCGCTATTGTCGCCGGTGCTCGTTCGTCGTGGTCAATCCTTCCAAGATGCGATGCCAGCCTTGAGCATGGGGGGCGACCGGCAGACATGTGCGAGGTAGGCGATGAGCAAGGGGGGCTTACGTCACCCTGACGCGAGCGTCACCGAAGCCTACCTCGGCTTATCTCGAGGTTGCGCGAGGTTGCGCGAGGTTGCGCGAGGTTGTGCGCACATCGGCTTACGCGGTAGCTATGCCTGTCATCATGTTTCCATGCTGCGCCGCGCTTACACCGCAACTATCTTACAAGCGTTACCAATGGACGAACCTGTGCGTCTGGTAAGCGGCGGTTCTCGCGGAACCCTGCAAAAAACATCGAGCAGGAGTTTCAACGACTCTTGTGCGTTCTCTGCGTTTTCTGAATCAGCGGACTTACTCTTGTGTTCTCTCTGTTTCATAACCAGAAAAACATGAGTCTCAGCTTCTTTTGCCGCGCTCGTCGAGTTCCGGCAGCGCTTTCGATTTTGCGCAGCGTGAGGTGGCAGCGCATGTGTGTTTGCGTGTTTACCAGAAAATAGGTTCTCAGCATGAAATCTGCGGGAAGTCAGGCCCGCTAAACAAATTCCAGAATGTAGTTCCAAACTATGCACGTATCATGTAATGAGTGGAAGAATGCACGTTTGAACTACAAGAGTGGCAACTATGATAAGGGAAGAACGCGTTGCTTCTGATGGTTAATGATAGCCTAGCACATCACGACGAAACTCTGTAGGACAGATCATACTAAATTGAGTAGTAGTAATTTGAATAAGGCAGCTTACATAAACCCAAATTGACTCAATTTGCTGCTACCGCTAGGGAATTGTAAGCTTGTACGCTGGTGTAACCTTTTGCTTGAAATCCGGGGCCGAGGTACATTGAACTTATCCAGATGGGGGCTGGGCGACGTGTTACATGAGCGAAGCGTGCGATGTGTGTGAGATGATTCGCACGGCGAAGATGCTGGCGATGTCCACCGGCGACGAGGAAGAGGGTTGTCGTAAAACCGAAGGTCTTCCGCCCATCGCGCGGACTGGCAGCGCCCAACAGCAACGCTAGGTGAGGCAGTTTCAGACTCCAAAAATCCATCAGGACGAATTTCCCCTGGCATTGCCGCGCTTTCCATCCATCGAGCTGACCGGCTTCGCACTGACGGGGTTACAATGCAATGCCCGCTCTGGCCGCGGCAGTCTAACGAATCGCAGAGCGGCTTAGCGAACGCGAATCGCACGCTATGATTTCTGACGGGGAAGGACGAAGATGATAACGTGGCACCAGAGTGGAGACTTCGCGAGGACGAGAGCGACGCCAAGGCTCGTCGATTGGCGCGCTCGAACTCGTCGTCCGAATTGTCCTCATTCGACGAGCTGGTGCTCTCCGACTCCCAATTACTCTCCATCGCGGAGCACGAAGCGCCGTTCAAAGCGTTCTTGGAGCAATGGTCGGCGCGCGGGGATGGACGCTCGGCGACGCCCCATCTCCTCTCATTGACGGTTGCGTTGCAGTTAAAAGCGTAAACGTCAGACGATGGGATTTGCGCGTTGGCCGCAGCCGCCTCCTCAAACGAGTCGTGCAGCGATCGGATGAACTGCTGGCATCGCATGGCGGTGAGCTCGCGTTGCGTGTTTAGCAGCTCTAAGCGGCACTCCAGCGCGTGCACCTCGACGTCCTCAACACGGCTGCGAACGCGGGGAACTGTGAAATTTGACGGTTTATGAGACGCATCGCACTGACTGCGACTGTCGCCTTTTGGGTTAACTAAAGCGTCGGAAGGGACCTTTCCTTTCTGAATGAGTCCTACGGCAGCCATGGCGCGGCTGCGGTTTTCAGCGTGACGACGATCGTTTTGCAAGGTTGGAAATCTCGAGTATCGCAGTATGTAGACGCAAGCCTATGTTGAAAGGCATAGAGCTACGACGCTGGGATATAAACCAGGAATCAGAGGATAAACACGCGCCAAAATGGGTTGTCGACAAAAGTAAGCGCGTGCCATATCTTAAAACCAAGAGTCTCCATGCGTCCCGTCATCATAAACAAAGAGCAAGCTTGACGTCCCACCAGAATGAACAGCAGCTATGTGTGCGTATTCCTTGGTGGTGATGCTTTGTGAAGCAAAAAGCGTTTCACATCCCCCCTCTCCCCTCACTCCGCTCCTCGAGGGGCAAGAGGGGAAAAGCAAGCGCGCCACTTCAACTGCTCCGATCACATTCGACTGCAGCCTGTCAAACGCCCCCCTCATGCCTTGCCACATCAGATTCGGTATGTTTACCCGCAACATCGCCCACTGCTCGCACGCACCGCATCTGGCCGGACCGCTTTGAATGTCCACTATTCATCACATGACGCCGCCCTTCCGGCAATCCATGCTGACGGGACAAGGTTCGGGCCAGCAATACGATTGAAGCCATTTTACTGGCCGGGCTAGTTGGATGCACACCGCACGACTCTGTTTGACCACTTTGCGGTATGCTCGCCCCGAATCTCGATAGTATCCATCTCGAGTACTGAACACCGAATGTGCTTGCTGAACCGTAAAAGGACACCATATCAAAGCACAACTACATGGACAACAGTGGCTGATACGAAACTGGCTAGGCTAGTGATTCAACATCACCACCACCACCATACGATTTGGTAACAATGAGTGATTTTTATCACTGGACAAGAAGCTCTTGGCTTCTACATACTAAACTACAAACTTCGCAAAATTCCCCCACCACCACCACCTCAAAATTCTGCCTGCCTCCCACCAACTAATCTCCCCTCGCCCGCTTCACCTGCCGTTGCAGCACCGCAACTCACGCCGGCGCAGCAGATGAATCCAAGCTGTCCCACACGCCAGTGAGGTCGTACTTGCTGGGTGCTGCTGCTGCCGGCACGCCTCCCAGCCCTGCTGCTACAGCCGCCGCTGCTGCCCCTGCGGCCTCGGGGAATGCGTCCCAAATGCGGATGGCGCCTGTGTGCGAGCCGCTGCACATGCGGCCATAGTCCAGATCCACTGCCACGTGCCGCACCTTTACGAGCGAGGCGGGTGATGGGAAAGTGTGGGCGGGGGGAGAGAGGGGGGGTGGGGAGGGAGCATGGTTGGGTGTGGGGGGAAGAGGGTAGGGAATGCGAGGGAGTTGGAAAGATAAGAGTGAGGGGTAAGGGCTGGTTGATGGGAGCTTTGGAATGAGCAGGGAAGATCGCAGTGTGGTGTGGATTCACAACAGGGAACTGTGGAGAGGAGAAACAGAAGCAAGAGCAGGAAACGATGACACTGAGACAGGTCCTCACGAAGGTGCGACGGCTCACCACATCGGGCATGTTGGCCACCATCTTGCTGACGGCCCACGTGGAGGGGTCGCCACCGCCGCTGCCGGTGCCACCAACACGGCCATCGGCGTCGGTGAATTCGAGGAACATGAGCTGGTTGCTGGCGGTGGCCACGCCTGTCACCTCGTCCATCAGCCGCACCGCCACCACTGCTTCTGATGAGGACGACCCACTCGTCTCCTGCGGAATGTACTGGTCTGTTGGTTGGTGTGGGGTGGGCGTGGGGTGTGGGGGGGAGAAAGGGGGGTTGCTGGCGGTGGCCACGCCCGACACCTCGTCCATCAGCCGCACCGCCACCACCACCTCCGATGACGACGACCCACTCGTCTCCTGCGGGATGTACTGGTCTGTTGGTTGGTGTGTGGGGTGGGGGAGGGAGAAGGGGAAAGGAAGAGAGGTCCGTGCGGGGAGTGCGAGTATGCCACCACCGCCTCCGATGACGACGACCCACTCGTCTCCTGCGGTATGTACTGGTCTGTTGGTTGGTGTGGGGTGGGAGGGGGAAGGGAAAGCAGAGGGAGAGAGGTAAAAGAGTGGAGAGTGGAGAATGAAAATTGTGTGGCTGTGGCTCCCTGCAGGATCACCGCCTCCTGCCTGTGAATTGCGGTGCCATTGCCTGTGAATTGCGGAGCCATTGCCTGTGAATTGCGGTGCCACGACCGTGTGAGTGAGCCGTGGACACCCAAGGATGCAGCACACCCACACTCACCGTCCTCCTTCTCCCAGATGCGGACCATGCCGCCTGCCGAGGTGACTTTGTGCCGATAAAAACCTGCAGAGACGCACACATGCACACATGCATGCACACATGCACACATGCATGCACGCATGCACACACACACGCACTCACCGTCCTCCTTCTTCCAAATGCGGACCATGCCGTCTGCCGACCCGGTGGCGAGGCGGTGCGACGACGTGCAGTAGTCCATGGTGCTCACTGCGCCTCCGTGGGCGGTCAGGATCTTCTCACAGTCACCCGTCTCCACAGACCAGATCTTGGCCGTCCAATCGTGGCTGCCCGTGATGATGATGTCCTTGTTGACCAACACACAGCTGCCACATGGCCATGCCGAGGGGTTGGGGAAAGAGAGAGGGAACTCACGAGGACAAGAGCGGGCAAGAAGGGAGGAGGGCACGATGGCAAGGGCAAGAGCATGAGAGGGGGAAAGGGAGGTGAAGCATGGTGGGATGCCCAGGAGATAACGGAAAGGAAGTGGAGAAGAAGGTAGCGAGGACAAGAGCTGCAGTGGCATTGACAAATGACAGCCGGTAAAGGCAAAAGCGGGTGCATCCAGCAGAGTCAGGGCAAATCAGTCATGTGATATGATGGGCACAGGGCTGCTTGAGGGGGGGCGCACCTGACCCAGTTGCTGTGTGCCTCGAGGAAGTGCATCTCCCTGCCTGCCCTCATGTCCCACACCCGCGCCGTGCTGCCGTGTGGGAAAGGGAGATACGGGAAAGATCGGGTGAAAGGGGGTGAGAGGGGGCGAGAGGGGGCGAGAGAGGGGAGGATGAGCGGAGCGACCGCTGATGAGTGTGTGGATGGAGAAGATTAGAGGTGTGGGTAGAGCTAGGGAAGTGGCCACGCAGGGTTGCGCTGACGGGAGGTGCAGCTAAGGAGCAAGGGGAGGAACGAGGAGAGAGGCGAGGGGAGGAACACGGAGAGGGGGGAGGAGAAGAGTGAGGAGAGGAAGAAAGGAGAGGAATGAGGAATGGAGGGCGGGGACGAGGAAGGCGAGGAGCGGAAACAAGGCATGGGAATGTATGCTGAGAACCATGCAGCAGCAGCACATGCACTACCCATTGGTGTGCCCCACCCCGCAGGCCCAGCCACACAAGCACATACCCGTCGGCGTGCCCAGTAGCAATAAGCCCCCCCTCCCCCCCCCCCCCGGTCATCATGCCAGCTGACGCACTGCACTGCTGCGCCCTATGCGGGCTGTGCGCCCTATGCGGGCTGTGCGCCCTATGCGGGCTGTGCGCCCTATGCGGGCTGTGCGCCCTATGCGGGCTGTGCGCCCTATGCGGGCTGTGCGCCCTATGCGGGCTGTGCGCCCTATGCAGGCTGTGCGCCCTATGCGGGCTGTGCGCCCTATGCGGGCTGTGCGCCCTATGCGGGCTGTGCGCCCTATGCGGGCTGTGCGCCCTATGCGGGCTGTGCGCCCTATGCGGGCTGTGCGCCCTATGCGGGCTGTGCGCCCTATGCGGGCTGTGCGCCCTATGCGGGCTGTGCGCCCTATGCAGGCTGTGCGCCCTATGCGGGCTGTGCGCCCTATGCGGGCTGTGCGCCCTATGCGGGCTGTGCGCCCTATGCGGGCTGTGCGCCCTATGCAGGCTGTGCGCCCTATGCGGGCTGTGCGCCCTATGCGGGCTGTGCGCCCTATGCGGGCTGTGCGCCCTATGCGGGCTGTGCGCCCTATGCGGGCTGTGCACCCTATGCGGGCTGTGCGCCCTGTGCCCCACCCCTCAGACCCGGCCCAGCCATGCACGCACGTACCCGTCAGTATGTCCCGTGGCAATCAGCCCCCCTGCATCCTCATGCCAGCTGACGCACAGCACGGCAGCACCCTGTGAGGGCTGTGCCACGGTGAGAGCGCGGCGGTGCGAGCGCATGTCCCACACCTCCACCAGCCCGTCCAGTCCCGCCGTCACTGCTGCACTGCGCGCGAAGCCGGAGAGGAAGCGCACACAGGAGATCTGGTTGGGGAAAGGTGGGGGAGTGGGATGGAAAACGGAGGGGATGAAAGTGGGTGAGAGCGCGGCGGTGCGAGCGCATGTCCCACACCTCCACCAGGCCGTCGAGTCCCGCTGTTACTGCTGCATTGCGCGCGAAGCCGGAGAGGAAACGCACACAGGAGATCTGGTGGGGAAAAGCGGGAGGGGAGATGGGAAACGGGGGGAGAGCGAAGGGGAGTGTGTCATGAAAGCATGTTCCACACCTCCACTAGCCCGTCCAGCCCTGCTGTCACTGCCGCACTACGTGCGAAGCCAGAGAGGAAGCGCACACAGGAGACCTGGGGGTGGACGGGCGGGAGGAAGCGGGGAGGGGGGAGAGTGGGATGGGAAAAGGAGGAGGAAGAGAGTGGGTGAGTGACATGAGAAGCATGTTCCACACCTCCACTAGCCCGTCCAGGCCTGCTGTCACCACCACTGCACTGCATTCGAATCCTGACAGGAAGCGCACACAGGACACCTGGGGAGCGGGGGAGGCGGGAGAGTGGGATGGGGAGCAGGGGGAAAAGCACACCATGCTTTCACTCACGGGGGCGGATTTCCAACACAGGTGCACACTGGGGCAGTGAGAATTTCTACTTTTGAGGTGCGCCAGAAATCAAAACAGGCACTTACAGGGGCGGTGTGGGCGTCGAGTGTGGCGAGGGGCAGCGAGGTGCGCTTGTCGAAGTGCAGCACCTTGCAGTCGTCTCCCCCCGACAGAATGCTGCTCGCATTGGACGAGATAGCTCGCACCGTGCTGCGGGCGAGAAGGGGGAGAAGGGGGAGAAGGAGGGGGTTGGAGTGGAGTGGGACAGCACGAGGTGCGCTTGTCGAAGTGCAGCACCTTGTCGTCGTCTCCCCCCGACAGAATGCTGCTCGCGTTTGACGAGATGGCTCGCACCGTGCTGGAGGGGAAGGGGGGAAAGGACGGGAACCGGGGGTGGGGAAGAGTGGGACAGCAGGTGGGGGGCACGAGGTGCGCTTGTCGAAATGCAGCACCTTGCCGTCGTCCCCTCCCGACAGAATGCTGCTCGCATTCGATGATATGGCCCTCACCGTGCTGGGGGGATTGAAGGGGAAAAGGGCGGCGAAGGGGGAACAGCAGACAGGGATTGAGCGGGGACTTGGAGAGGGGTTGAAACAGCAGGGGGTGAGAGCGGGAATGAGGCAGCACGGGGAGGAGTGGATGGGAGATCTGATGTGGAGGCATGTAACCGTGAGGGTGCAAGGGCAGGGTGCAGCAGTGGGAGCGCACCTTGGTAGCTTCCTTAGAGTGCCCCATTCCCCCACCTTTACTCCACACCCTCTCCCATCTCAACACCCTCTCCCCATGCAACCACTCTCCCCATGCAACCACTCTCCCCATGCAACCACTCTCCCCATGCAACCACTCTCCCCATGCAACCACTCTCCCCATGCAACCACTCTCCCCATGCAACCACTCTCCCCATGCAACCACTCTCCCCATGCAACCACTCTCCCCATGCAACCACTCTCCCCATGCAACCACTCTCCCCATGCAACCACTCTCCCCATGCAACCACTCTCCCCATGCAACCACTCTCCCCATGCAACCACTCTCCCCATGCAACCACTCTCCCCATGCAACCACTCTCCCCATGCAACCACTCTCCCCATGCAACCACTCTCCCCATGCAACCACTCTCCCCATGCAACCACTCTCCCCATGCAACCACTCTCCCCATGCAACCACTCTCCCCATGCAACCACTCTCCCCATGCAACCACTCTCCCCATGCAACCACTCTCCCCATGCAACCACTCTCCCCATGCAACCACTCTCCCCATGCAACCACTCTCCCCATGCAACCACTCTCCCCATGCAACCACTCTCCCCATGCAACCACTCTCCCCATGCAACCACTCTCCCCATGCAACCACTCTCCCCATGCAACCACTCTCCCCATGCAACCCCCCTTCCTCATGCACCACGCTCCCCATGCATCTCCTTTCCCCCCCATGCACCTCCCTCACGCACCCCTCGTGGCCACGCATCGTGGCACGCATCTCTGCTCCCACGCGGTTCGCACTCCACAGCTTCACCTGCCGGCCCCACACACATGCGGAGAGTTGGGAGACGGTGGAATTGGGCAGGGCGGAGGAAATGGGAGAGCGGCAGATTAGAAAGGTAGAGAGTTCCAGCAGGAATGCAGACAGCACCACCTGCGGGCCACCATGGCTTCACAGCACCGCACCCATGCCCTCACAGCAGCAGCAGCAGGTACCAACACACGGCTTATTCCATTCGATCATGGACCCCCCCGCAACTCACCGTGTGGTCGGCAGAGCCGGAGACGAAGTAGCCGGCGTCATCACAGCCGGAGAGCAGGTCGCCCAGGTCGCCATGGCCCCACAGCACAGCACCCATGCCCTCACAGCAACAGCAGTTATCAACTCACGGTGCGGTCAGCAGAGCCGGAGACGAAGTAGCCGGCGTCATCACAGCCGGAGAGCAGGTCGCCCAGGTCGCCATGGCCCCACAGCACAGCACCCATGCCCTCACAGCAACAACAGTTATCAACTCACGGTGCGGTCAGCAGAGCCGGAGACGAAGTAGCCGGCGTCATCACAACCGGAGAGCAGGTCGCCCAGGTCGCTCACCGACCCCACATGCAGCGCTGTCACCGCTGCACTGTGCCCCCTCAGCACCCGCATGCCCGCCTCGCCCTCCCTCCTCGCCTGCTGGTGCACCGGGTCTGAGGGGCAGGCGCACAGGGGTGGGGGGTTAGGGAGTGAGGGAGGATGGGAGTAGTGGCAAGGATGGCGGAATGTGGGAAGGTGGGAGGTTTTGGGGGGATGTTGAGGGAATTGGGTGAGGCGTTGAGGGGGGCGATCTGGGTAGGTGTGATTGTGATGCGATGGTGCTGACCATGAGCATGTTGAATGAGGACAAGAACAGTGATGGCATGGCACCCTGCATGGCACCCTGCATGGCACGAGTTAAGAAGAGAATGCAAGCACGCTGCACGCACCTGCTCTCACCAGGCGCTCTGCCCGGCGATCAAGCCCATCCGCCTTGCCCTTTCCTCTCGGACTCGTCATCCCCCCTCCCCCACCCTTGGGCGTCGTGGTCGGCGCACCCTTCCCCCCGACATCAAAGTTCACTCCCCGCCGCCCCGCCTTGCTCTTGCTCCGCGCCAGCGCCCCCTTATGCTGCACCGCGCCTCCCCCCTCCCCCTCCAGAGTATTATTACTGTCCACTCGTGCCATGCCATCCGCCCCTGCGCCTCCCCCGCCCCCGCCCTTGAGGCGCGCGGCCTGCTCCATCTTGGGGGCGATTCGCGGCGCCAGCGCCATCATGAGCGCCAGGCGCGGCGGGCCGTAGAAACGGAACTTGAGCTGGATGAGCGACAGCTGGCCGCGCAGCAGGTTCTGTGGTGAGAGAGGGGAGGAAGGAAAAGGGGGAGTACCGGAGCGCGGATGTGGGGGAGAGTGATGCAAAAGAAGAGGTGAGCAGGGGGGCGTGGGGAAGAGCTGGTTGGTGGTAGCATTCCAACCAGCACTAGAGTGCGGAGTGCGTATGCCTCTGATCGTGGATGCATATTTGTGTACTGAACACTCGTCAGAATCAACGTGCTCCCCACCAGCCATTCTATTTAAGCGTGTGACACCTCCTCCGCCCATCCCTCCATCCATCCACCCATCCACCCTGTATCCCCCAACAGCACCTCCAACTCCCCACCCCCGAAGTGGCATCTCCCCTTCCCTCCTCCCAGCCTCTTCCCCCCTCCCTCCCCCCCCCCCCACCCCTCCCCAGCGGCACAGCACCTGGCGCTTCTCTCGGAGGCCGTGCTCGCTGGCGAGGTGCAGCAGCATCTTCCACGTCTCCTTGTCCGCTATTCCCAGCTCCACCTGCGAGAGCAGGGGAGGAGGTGGGGAGGGAAGAGAGCGGAGGGGAGTGAACGGACGGAGGGATGGACTGAGGGAGGGACAGAGTGACGGAGGGGGGATGACGGAGGGCGGACGGGGCATACGAAGGCAGCATGCACGTGGGGATGTGACAGGCTGAGCTGGGCACAGGCAGGCAGGAGGTAGCTGGGATCATGGCACGGACATGTGGTTGAGGGGAGGCAGGCTGTGCGGACGACCAGGGAGACCGCCAGGTGAAGGAACGGGAGGGGAAGGTGGGGCAGGGGGGAAGGGACGAGGGGCAGGGGAGGAAGGGAGGTGGAGCGCGGGGGTACCATGTGGAAGGCGCAGGCCTTGAGTGTGAGCATGACCATCTGCGAGTAGTTGCCAAAGGAGCTGTTAGGGGCCCGGGGGAAGGGGACGGGGGAAGGGGGGCAGGGGAAAGAAGAAAAGGGGAAGGGGAAGGGGGAAGGGGGGCAGGGGAAAGAGGGGCAGGGGAAAGGGGAAGGGGGGGCAGGTGAAGAGGTGAGGAGATGAGGAGGGGTTGGAGCAAAGGTAGGGGTGGTGTGAGGGTGAGTGAACGGTGGGGCACGCGAGTGGCGGGAGCAAACGATGCAGCGGGCAGACTAGAGGATGATGGTATGGAGGGTCACACATCATAGTCGCATGGCACCGACATACTTAGCAAAGGTGAGGTTAGGAGAGTGAAAGAGCGCGTAGGAGTGTAGAGAAGAGCGAGAGAACAAGGGGGCTGGCGTGGGGAGACGGCTTACTCTTCTCCAAGCTCCTGCATGCGCTGCTCAAAAAGCTCGTCCCATAGGCTGCAGTGGTGGCAGGGGCGAGGAGAGAGGGGCACAGGGAGAGAACAATGGACAAAGTTTGGATCATCTTTAACCAGAATGGCCAACGGGTGAGAATGCAGCAACCTGGAATGACACGATTAACTGCTACAGATTGGCAGGCACTCGTGCCTGTGATTGCCAGGCGGGCGGCAACTCCCGCCTGGTAGCGACTCACACCTGAGCCAGCTCCCCCATTCCTGTCCTTGCCCTCTTCCCTCCCCCCCCGTTGCAGCAACTCCCCATCACCGCCTGCCATTGACTCACGCTTGCGAGTGCCAGACGTGCAGGGAGCCGAGGTAGCGGCGCATGAAGTCGAGCATGCCGAACTCGTCCCGGAAGTAGATCCGCCCCGCTATCTCCAACAGCCCCCCTGCCACCTGGTAGTCCCTCCTCTCCCCCGCCCTCGACGCCGCCACCAGCATCTGATGCAGGGGGGGGGAGGGGAGGGAGAGAGGGAAGATGTGGCAAAGGAGGAGTGAGGGGGGAGATGGGAAAAAAACGAGAGAGTGGGAGAGAGAAAAAACCAAATGGGACTGATTCAGGTCACTGGGGCATGCCCTTGACCCTCCCTCTCCCCCCACACCCGGCACACCACTGTGAAAGTAGCAAATTGAACAAGTCATCAGATTAGAGGAACAACCTAGCATACATAGTTGGAAGGGAAGGTTGGAAGGGAAGGATGAAAGTGACCATAGGTTGGGTTGACCTCACTTGGGGAAGTGAGGGAACCATAGGTCAAGTGGGTTGGGTTGCCCACACTTTGTAGAAGTGAGGCAACCCTAGGCCCACTTGGCTTGGGGTAACCTCAATTGTGGGAAGTGAGGTACCCACAAGTCAAGAGGGTTGCATTTGGGGGCTCCACCACAATTGGGTGGATTGGCACCCCAAAGTGCAAGACTACACCCAAAGTTGGGTGTAGTCCCAACCCAACTGTACACCACAATTGGTGTACAGTCACATGTGTTGGCATGCTACACAATATATAATTTAACAACCACTCCTCGCTCCAGCTCTTCACCATCATCACCAACCCCATGGCCCAGCCCCTCAGCGCCCCTCACCCCAGCTCCCCTGAGCACCTGTCAGCCCAGGCGCTCACCAGCTCACGACACGCCATGAACATCTCTCGAGTGAGCTCGCCCGACCACCCCTGCACACACACACGCAGACAGACAGGCAGGCAGGCAGGAGCGGCAGAGAGGGGAGAGAGGGAGCTACTAGTGAGGAACTGGGGGCGAGACAACTACAAGGGCGGGATGTGGAGGCAGAAAAAAGGCAGCAGAGGAGAGGGAGCAAGGCAGGCAGTGGTGGGTGAAGGGCGCGAGGGGAGGGGCAGGGAGGGTAGGGACGGGTGGGGAGAGGAGAGGAGAGGGTGGAGGGGCGTACGATGGTGATGTTCTCCTCCAGGCACGCGAGGAAGCTGGAGCCCCCAAAGCCCTCAGGGTCCGACTCGATCATTCCTGCATGCAGCACGGCACGGCACAGCATGGGACAGCATGGGTGAGGCATTGAACGGTGAGGATTGAGAGGTCAGGATCCAGGGGAAGATGTGGGGAGCAAGGAGGGGGGGGAAGCGGAAAGCGAAGTCGTGGGGGAGGAGTTGAGGGTTGGGCTGGGGTGGGGTGCGGTGGGGTAGGGTGAATACCGTAGATGGTGCCGTAGTGCTCTGATCCCATGGGGTGCTCGCCCGGAGGTAAGCCTCTTAGTTGGTCCCATAGTTGCTGCGCTCATGCATGCATGCACATAACAACATGCAGACAGACATATGAACATGGCAGTGCATGCAGAAGCACACATCCACATGAAAAATGCATGCGCATACCCAGGCACAGAGGGATACAGGTGAAGAACTGAGCGCTGAAATGCAAGGACAAGACAACAACTGTCAAGGGGATGCAGAACCGCAGGGGCTAGAAGGTGTTTGACAATGGTGATTCAACGAGAACGGGCAGGGAGGCAATGAGAGGCGGGGAGGGGAGGGAGGTGGTGAGAGGGAGGAGGGGAGCAGGGAGCACTCACACAGAGGCGCACTTGAGTGTCCACCTTCATCATTTCCCTTTGCGCCTGCCCACGTAGCACACGGGACACGAGAAAGCGGAGGAGGGAGGGGGGGCGGGGGGAAGGAAGTAGAGAAACACGAGTCTCAGGCGCCGTGGCGAGGAGTAAGGGAGCGGCGGAGGAGAGGGGGAGGGGGGCGGAAGGGGAGAGGGGGGGGTTGCTGCTGCCTCTGCATGGGAGCAGAGGCGGCTGCTCACGCTAATCCAACTGAATCCTCACTCTACCACCCTGCCACACTCCACCCTCCCTTCACACTCGCCCATCTCAATCTCTACACCTCTCCATTCCACGCACCCAGCCGTCTTTCTTTACGCACGCCCTCCTCGCCTTGACCACCTCCCTCTCACTCACACCCACGCACCCAGCCGTCTCGCACTGAGGCACGCACGTGCACATGCATGCATACACGCACGCACATGAACGCACATGCACGCACACACATGCACGCACACACATGCACGCACACACATGCACGCACACACATGCACGCACATGAACGCACATGCACGCACACACATGCACGCACACACATGCACGCACACACATGCACGCACACACATGCACGCACACACATGCACGCACACACATGCACGCACACATGCACGCACATGAACGCACATGCACGCACACACATGCACGCACACACATGCACGCACACACATGCACGCACACACATGCACGCACACACATGCACGCACACACATGCACGCACACACATGCACGCACACACATGCACGCACACACATGCACGCACACACATGCACGCACACACATGCACGCACATGAATGCACATGCACGCACACACATGCACGCACACACATGCACGCACACACATGCACGCACACACATGCAAGCACACACATGCACGCACACAACCAAGCCCCCTTCCACGCCCACCACACACCCCCACAAACCCCGCCCTACACGAGCACACACTGCACGCACCCCTCGCTCCTTGGAGCTGCGAGTGCGGCCCAGACGGCGCTCCTTGAGCCACGCCCTCATCGCCTTCTCCACCGCCAGACTACCCTCGCCCGCCCAGGGGGGGAAGGAGAGAGGGAGGAGGGGAGAGCAATGCATGCACCATGGGGGAGAGCGTTAAAAGGCAGAGACGATGAGAGGGACAATGAGGGGGAGAGAAATGAGGTCAAGGGTGTCATTGACCAGAGCAAGGCGTGCTGCTACTGCTCCCCCATGCCTGGGCCAACACCCACACGCACGGCATGCACCCACACGCACGGCATGCACCCACACGCACGGCATGCACCCACACGCACGGCATGCACCCACACGCACGGCATGCACCCACATGTACGGTGAACCCCATGCACCCACATGTACGGTGAACCCCATGCACCCTCATGTACGGTGAACCCCATGCACCCTCATGTACGGTGAACCCCATGCACCCACACGCACGGCATGCACCCACATGTACGGTGAACCCCATGCACCCACACGCACGCACCTTCTGGCCTCCTGCTCGCCGCCCGCCTTCTCGTTGTTGGGGAAGCGCTGGTACACGTACCGCCCCACCGCTCCCCGCTTTGCCGCTGCGGTAGGGCAGGCGGGACGACGGAGGGGAAGAATAAGGCCGAGTTGCTGCTTCGTGAATGCATAAGTTGGACACATTGAGCTGGGCGGATCACCTCATGGCACTTGCTGAGTGCACCTTCGAGTGGCTTCGACAGCCAACTCATATTTCGGCCCATTACCAGAGCTGCACCTGACAGCACAGCACCTGGCAGAACCTGGCAGCACCTGACAACACCTGACATCACCAGTGGTGGCAGCTAGCGGCTGGCAGGGCCTGGTAGATGTTGACGGTGAGGAAGTCGGTGGGGGGCAGCGGGAGGAGCATGGGCAGAGTGGGGAGCGTGATGGCAGGGTGGTTGGCATGGCAGCACTCACCTGGCAGCGCTGGCAGCACCTGGCAGGAGGACACACCTGGCAGGGCCTGGTAGATGTCGACAGTGAGGAAGTCGGTGGGGGGCAGCTGGGGGATTGTGATGTGCGGGTCCTTGTTGTGTGCGCGCTGCATTATGGCATCAAACTGCGCCAGCTCCTCACCTGGCAGCGGTGGCAGCAGCACCTGGCAGGGTCGCAGCATCTGGCAGCACTGAATGCACCTGACAGCACCAGCAGCACCTACCAGCGGTGGCAGCACGCACCTGGCAGGGCCTGGTAAATGTCGACAGTGAGGAAGTCGGTGGGGGGCAGCTGGGGGATTGTGATGTGCGGGTCCTTGTTGTGTGCGCGCTGCATTATGGCATCAAACTGCGTCAGCTCCTCGGGGGATTGCGCCAGCTCGCACTCAAAGAAGTTGTGCCACCCCAGCGTTGAGAGCATCGCCTCTATCTGCCTCACACGTAAGTGGTGCAGCAAGCGGGCCGGGAGAGGAGGGGGAAGGAGAGGGAACGGGGAAACGGAAAGAGCAAGGGGAGATTGGTTGTAAAGCAGGGGACGAGGGGGGGGGGGAGGGGAGAGTGCGCCAGCTCGCACTCAAAGAAGTTGTGCCACCCCAGCGTTGACAGCATCGCCTCTATCTGCCTCACACGTAAGTGGTGCAGCAAGCGGGCCGGGAGAGGAGGGGGAAGGAGAGGGAACGGGGAAACGGAAAGAGCAAGGGGAGATTGGTTGTAAAGCAGGGGACGAGGGGGGGGGGAGGGGAGAGTGCGCCAGCTCGCACTCAAAGAAGTTGTGCCACCCCAGCGTTGAGAGCATCGCCTCTATCTGCCTCACACGTAAGTGGTGCAGCAAGCGGGCCGGGAGAGGAGGGGGAAGGAGAGGGAACGGGGAAACGGAAAGAGCAAGGGGAGATTGGTTGTAAAGCAGGGGACGAGGGGGGGGGGAGGGGAGAGTGCGCCAGCTCGCACTCAAAGAAGTTGTGCCACCCCAGCGTTGACAGCATCGCCTCTATCTGCCTCACACGTAAGTGGTGCAGCAAGCGGGCCGGGAGAGGAGGGGGAAGGAGAGGGAACGGGGAAACGGAAAGAGCAAGGGGAGATTGGTTGTAAAGCAGGGGACGAGGGGGGGGGGAGGGGAGAGTGCGCCAGCTCGCACTCAAAGAAGTTGTGCCACCCCAGCGTTGACAGCATCGCCTCTATCTGTTGCATTGCACCCACGGGGACGAGCACACATAGCGACAAGCGGGCCAGGACAAGGGAGCGGGGCGAGGGGAGTTGAGGGGTGTGGGGAGATGGGGAGAGGGGCAAGAGGTAATTGGTTGTGAAGCAGTGGAGTGGAAGGGGGGGTTGGTGGGGAGTGAGAGTGGATGCTGGTGTCTCGGTTGTAAGACCCTAGCCTCGCACTTGTGCGTTTTTTGTGGGAGGTGTGGGGGTGTGGTGGGGTGTGGTGGGGTGTGGTGGTGGGTGTGGCAGGGGGGAACGTACGAAGGGCTCGGTGGCGTGATCGTAGAGCTCGGAGCGGCGCAGCAGGAAGCTGAGCTTGTCAAACACCAGCTTGCCCGCCTCAAAATGATCCTCCATCTGCCACACCGCACCGCACATCACGCAGGGAACAGGCAAGAGGGAGGAGCCGGTGGGGAGGGAGGAGGAGGATGAGGGGATTGTGTGGGAGAGTGGGGCAGGTACAAGGCAGCAGCGACACTGATACCCTAAATGGGCCAACACAGTGGGTGATGTAACGCAATCAGTGGGCATTGGATGGACGGAGGGAAGTGCGGTGTGTGAGCATGTGAGCATGTGAGTGAGCATGTGAGTGTGTGAGTGCGAGCGTGTGAGTGTTTGAGAGTGTGATTGTGCAGGCGAACGCACCACAAAATCCTTGTAGCCGTGGAGCACGGACGCCAGGAAGCGCAGGAACAGCTGCCTGCACACGGCACGCAGCAGAGACATGGGACGAATAGGAGCGCGAGTTGAGGGCATCTCGGGGGCATGATGGGGACATGCAGCGGAATGGGTTCAAGTGTGCACAGGAGCGCAAGCTGGTGTGGAGACTGCAAGAGAGCAGCAACGGGCACCAAGGCAGAGAGCCAAAAGCAGCTCCATTCGCCACGATTCCATCCTCACCTGAACTGCTCATCATGATGGCGCCCCCACGTCTTGAACGTCTTCTCATCAAACTGCTGCACACCAGCGGCGAGCAGCGGCGAGCGGTGGTGCCGCACCGACTCCAGCACGGCCAGGTGCGGGTGGATCAGCGCGTGCAGCGCCGCCCTCAGCTCTGAGGCCTCGGGCTCGGGCAGAGGCGGGATGTCCTCCTCCTCCTGCTCGCTCTCCAGACTCATCATGCGCACTCGGTTCGTGTCCAGATCCACTAGCACCACCTGGAACAGGGGTAGGATGAGGACGGGTGGGGATAGGGGTACAGGAGGGAGTGAGGGAGGAAGGAGGGGGAAGGGGAAGGGGGAGAGGAGCCAGCTGTGGTATAACCGCTGCACATGGCGTTTGCTGTGTGCAGCACAAGGGGGCACACATAACGCTTTTCCAATGCGGGCTCACTAACTACTAATTATGACCATACACATGCACCAACAACTCGCTCCCTTGGCCGCTGGCAACCACCACATGTGCCGCGATCACCCTCCCTTTGACTGCTCAGTGCGCACCGCCCCCCCTTCCGGCAGCTAATAGCCCTAATGTCTACCTGCTACCCAGCCCCATCAGTCCTAAAGTGGCAAGGCGGTGGTGGCAGTGAGTGAGGCACTGACCCCATCAAGTTCGTCCTGCAGTTCGAACTCGGACGTGTTGATGCCGTAGATGAATATGCCCGGCGCGTGCAGCAGCTCCAGCAGAGGCAGCGGCAGCACCGGGATGTACGGCAGCTGGGGGAGAGACGGGGGGGAGGGGAAGGGGGACGGGAGAGAAGAGGAGGTCGTACAATGCAGAGCAGATAGGCGCTTTGCCTTTTGCATTCAGCATCCCACACTTGGCAACATGCTGCACAGCGAATGCCCCTGGCGCTTTCAAGTGGGAGGCTGGTGGTGGCCGTGGTGAGCGCAAGCGATCGGTGACATAAAATAAGGGCGTGCGCAGCAGGCAAGCTACTATGGCGGGTGCATTCACAATGGTGTCGTTCTGTAGGCACATGACGATTGGGGGAGGAGGGAGGGAGAAGGGAAATGAGGAGGGTTCCGAGGTGGGTTCCGAGGTCGTTTTCTCCCCTCTGGGCAAACATGCGAGATGGGAAATTTCGGATTTTGGGGAGGTAGTTTCCGAGGGAAAATGACGAGCTTCTCGCGGAATTTCTCGCGCCCAATGGAGGGGTAAATCGTGACCATCGAATGCAGGACCAGGGTAATTATTTGGGGCTGGGCGTTTTCAACATAAAGAAAACCCAACATACAGTAGTGGTGAGAAGGCCGCCAAGGTTTTCACTTTGGTGGTTGGTGTGTGTTTTTCTTTTTCGATTTGAGATTTGCAACCCTGTTTGGGTTAGTGGCTGTACAGGGAAGCTTGTTTCTTGGGTGGGAGGCTGGTGTTCCCACGCCCAGCTCCTCCCTCCCGTCACTGTCGCACTTCCCCGTGAAGGGTGGGTGGCCGATGGCGGGGCGGAGGCAAATAAATTTGCCCGAGGAGGAAGGTGGTGAGGGGAAATAGGAACCTTCCTGGGGGTGCATTTCCCTGGAGGGAAATGACTGTTCTGCAGGCATTTCCCTTCGATTAGGTTGGGAAGGGAAATGACTGCCACGTCAGCCTTTTCCGGGCTGACCGCCATTTCGAACCTAAAATTGCAGAGGCAGGCAGCTTCCTATTTTCCCTCCCCTTCCCTCCGTGATGCCTGCAGAACGATACCAATTAGGTAGGACTACTGCCGTGCCTCTCAAGGAAACTCAAACCACCACTGCCCGTGCTCATCCTCCCTGACCTTCCAGCAGCCTACTGTCTGTCACCGTTGCTCACCATCCACTTGTAGGGGTACAGCAGGCCTGTGACCGCCTCCGCCACGTTCGTCAGTAGCTTCAGCCTGAGGGTGGCGAGGCGGGCGGCACAGGCGAGAGGAGAGGTGAGCAGGGGGGAGTAGGGAGCAGGGCGCAGGCAGAATGCGGAATGGATAGCGGGAGGCACGTGAAAATTGTGGTTCTCCTTGGCAGGCATTGCCACTGACTCATGTAAACACAAACCACATCGATTCCATCATGGAAATACTCACATGCCTCCAAGCAGCAGCACTCTTCTCTCCAGGAGCACGGCCGTGAAGAGCTGGATGATGTTGTCAATGTCGAGACAGCTTACAAGGGGGAAAAACGACACCTGAAGGTGCGTGAGAGAGGAAAGGCAGCATGTATGGAGATTGAGGGAGGGCCGACTGCACTTGATTCTGGCTGGGACGAGAGCACAGCCTTGTGGGAAAGCGTTATCCACCGTGATCATCGTGATGCATGCTTTGAGAGTGAGAGAAGCCACAGGTGCAAGGCAGCAGACACATGGTGATCCCAGGAGCCATAACGGCTCCAACCCAAAGCACCATCGCAGTGGGTACAAGGTATGGTGGGGAGTAAGGAAGGGCACTGACGTGTGAGGAGGGGAGGGCTTGGGGGTCGGGCAGAGTGGTGGAGAGCACAACGCTCTCAACGCTGAACACCACCGTCTGCTGTGGGCCTGATGGCAGTGGCACCGACATCACCCCCGCTATTATGTCCCATATCGGCCGCCTGCCATGCCATGCCATGCCATGCCAGGACATTCCAAACCATGCCATCCCCAAACCATGCCATACCATGCCGTGACATGCCAGCAAGCCGCACCACAGCATTCGATAGGGTTGATGACTTTGTGCAATGTGATGGGCAGAGAACGCTGAGAAGGAGCAGCTTTGCACCCAAGTAGGAGGGGGTTATTCAAGGCATGAGAATGGACCATCGGTGAGGGCCAAGAGAGAACACAAGCGTCGCCACAGAACAGAAGTGGAGGGAGAGGAGGGAGTGGAGGGAGGGGAGGGAGGGAAAGGAAGGGAGGGAGGGGAGGTGGGGCAGGAAGGGCAGCGAGGAGAGGGAGGGCAGGGAGGGCTGTGAGGGAGGGAAGAGTGGGTGGGTAGGTAGGGCACTGACGGGCTGCCGAGCGGTTGGAAGGCGAGGCGGTGGATCTCAGTGAGGAGGTCGGAGAAGGTGTCGAGGAACGGGTAGTGCGACACCACGCACAGACACTTGTCCGCGTACGAGTTGGGCGGGATGGAGTAGGCCTGCGCCACGTCATCGTCCACCAGATCACGGAACGCCAGTACTGACACGTACACCTTGGTGCCGTCGCCCTCTGGGGGGGGTTGGGGTGCGGAGGGAGGAGAGGTAGCGTGGGGAGGAAAAGAGTAGGCAGAGCGTGAGATGGTGCACGGAGGAGCAAAGGGCTCTAAAGGCGCGGAGAACGGGATTCTCGGACGAGACAGCTGAGGCGTGACGACTCTCACTGGCTGGCGCACGTGTGTGCCGCGACGCTGCGTGCGGACAAGTAAATTTGAGATTCTGGCATTCGCGCATGGGCGCGGGAACTGCGACGGCCCAGGTTATGGATGTGAGGGCGAAAGGGTGCGGGAGGGAGCGAGGGGCGTACCGGTAAGGATGATGGGGTAGGATCGCGGGAACGACAGCGGCTCGTCCTGGTTGGCGCCATGGCTGTAGAAGCGCAGCCCGCCAGGGAGCACGGCCTGGGGGGAACGGCGCAAGGGGAGGGCGCAGGGGGGCGGAGCAGGGGACGGCACAGGGGGAGGCGCGGGGACGCAGGGAACCACGTGGTTGGACGCGGGGGCAAGAATGTCGGGACCAAGAGGAGCTGTAGAGTAGAGGAGGGTCGATGCGAAAAGCGAAGAGCGCGCGCACAATGCACGCACAGCTGACGCGGAATGCGGAATCTGCGTGACAGAAGCAGGCGTGCGGCTGACAACCTAGGCGGTACGCAGTCAATCCAGCACTGTACTCTAATGCATTAACTCCGCCTAAAAGCATAATGTGATTTCTTAGAGCTTGATGAAAAAGGAAGCTCTCATTGAGAGGATGTCGCACCAGCGGTAACATTTCCGGGATCTTGAATTTCTTGTGCTCCTCGGCCGGCAGGCGGTCGATGAGCACAGGCATGTACGAAATGCGCACGCCATGGCTCTTCATGCCGTGGAATCCGCGAGTGCCGTCCATTAACCGCAGGTCCAGACCTAAGCCGCACACCACGAAATAGTCCAGGAATCGTGTCTTCCATAGCGGCCCGTCGGCCACTACAGCTGGCGCTGCCGCGGTTCCAGCTGCAGCAGCCATGTGCGCTGCTTAGTGTGTGCGATGGGAAGTGATTGACTCGGCAGAAATGAGCGGGAAATCAAGTCGGGAGAATGACTGAATGCATCACCAATGCGGATGTTACGAAGTTAAGGACGGAGGTTTCGCCATGTTGACGGAGAAATGGCGCACTCGGAGTTACGGAGCTAACTCCTACGGCAGAGACGACGCCGCGCGAAACCGAAACGTGCAGAAAATCGCTCTCAAAATAAGGACTTTCAAGCTCGCGTTGGTCTCCTCGCGGAGTGCTCCTACGAAGTACGGCTGCCGGCGTCTATTAGGTTTAGAGGAATGCAGGGAACAATAGTTCGATGACTGATGGATATTCCCGAGGCTTGACCCGCCAGGGACATCGATGGAGCAGTATGGTTGGGTCATCAGTGAGCATATATCGGGAATTGTTGAATCTTGTGTGGTGCAGAGGTTGGTGAGGGGTGCTGCTGCTCATTCAATAAAAGGAGAGTACAATACAGGTTATATACATATTGTTATTAAAGAGTATGGAGAAATGGGGGGGTGAAGAGAAGTGGGAGTAAATAAAATTATTGTGAAAGAGAGGATTGGAAATTGAGTGGAGAATTAAAGGAGAGAAGGAGGAGAGAGCGTATAAAATAAGGACCGTAGGCAAAATAATGAGATCTGAAAAACAAAATGGTATAACACATAAGGGGGATACTACCGTAAGACCCCGGATATAAGCGCACCTGCGCTTGTAATAAAATGTGATTTTCAAGGGAGTGCGCTTCTAATTGAGGAAATATTATAAGCGCATGCGCTGATAAATAACAAACATAGAAATTTAAACTACTAGCACGAAAATGTAGGTCAAGTCCTAAGCACTCAATCGAGTCGAATTGAAACAGGGTTGTGGATGAAAATCCCACGCTACTTGACAGGGAAAGATCCCCTGCCAGCATATACTGTCAAATGTTGATATTTGTGATATCTTATAGTGAGGTGCTCCGTAGTGAGTACAACTCAGTTAGGGTTTGCTATTTGTATCACCCACATTCCTAATCTCATGGATCCGTTGCATTCCTACTTTGAGATGGTATCACGAGTAGGTTAGTTCCTCGTTCCTTCCTAGCACGCGCCCTCCGCGCCCTCCGCGCCTTAGCCTCCGCGCCATCCGCGCCCTCTCCGCGCCATAGCGCCCTCCTCCTCCGTGCGTCAGCGCCCTCTGCGCCCCTAGCCCGTCGCCCTAGCCTGTCGCCCAGGCCCACGCCCTAGCCCGACGCCCAGGCCAGCGCCCTAGCCCGTCGCCCAGGCCCGCGCCCTAGCCCGTCGCCCAGGCCCGCGCCCCAGCCCGACGCCCAGGCCCGCGCCCTAGCCCGTCGCCCAGGCCCGCGCCCCAGCCCGACGCCCAGGCCCGCGCCCTAGCCCGTCGCCCAGGCCCGCGCCCCAGCTCGTTGCCCTAGCCCATCGCCCAGGCCTGCGCCCTAGCCCGTCGCCCAGGCCCACGCCCTACCCGTCGCCCTAGCCCGTCGCCCAGGCCCGCGCCCTAGCCCGTCGCCTAGGCCCGCGCCCCAGCTCGACGCCCAGGCCCGTGTCCGAGCCCGTCGCCCAGGCCCGCGCCCCAGCCCGTCGCCCTAACCCGTCGCCCTAGCCCGTCGCCCAGGCCTGCGCCCTAGCCCGTCGCCCAGGCTCGCGCCCTAGCCCGTCGCCCTAGCCCGTCGCCCAGGCCCACGCCCCAGCCCGACGCCCAGGCCCGCGCCCTAGCCTGTCGCCCTGGCCCGCGCCCTACCCGTCGCCCTAGCCCGTCGCCTTGGCCCGCGCCCCAGCCCGACGCCTAGGCCCGCGCCCTAGCCTGTCGCCCAGGCCCGCGCCCTTGCCCGTCGCCCAGGCCCGCGCCCTATCCCATCGCCCAGGCCCGCGCCCTACCCGTCGCCCTAGCCCGTCGCCCAGGCCCGCGCCCCAGCGCGTCGCCAAGGCCCTCGCCCTAGCCCGTCGCCCAGGCCCGCGCCCTGCCCTCACACCAGCCTGCGCCCCAGGCAGCGCCTAGCCCGCCCTCTGCCCACGCCCTTTCCCCCCGTTAGCACTAGCCTTCACCCCTCCACCGCCCTGTTCCCCGGGCCCGAACCGTCCCAACTGTCACTGGCCTTCTGCTCAACGGCTGGCGCTCCTCTCACTGGCGACCCTCTGTAGCATAGTCTCTAGCATAGCACCTAGCCTCCAGCCGCCTCTAGCCTAGCCTCCAGCATGGAGTCCCTCCGCCTTCGTTTCGATGCGAAGGGCCACCCGATCGAGTTCAGTACCTGGCAGCGCCAGGCCACACGCTACCTCACCAGTCAGCGTCAGGACGGCGCCACCTTGTGGGCCCACGCTTTTGGTGCCCTCAAGGCGCCCCTGCCTCCCGACCCCCTCCCGACCGACCCGGAGTCGACTCCTGCGGCGCAGGCGGACTACGACCGTCGTGTCTTGGCGAGGGACGTGTGGGAATCTCGCGACGCTGCCACTGCTCTTGCGGTGACGGAGCTCCTCCCACCGACTGAGGCCGTCCACTTTGCCCAGGTGGATACTGCGCAGGGGATTTGGGATGCTGTTGTTGCACGCTATTCCACCCCTTCCTCTGCCTCCCTCAGTCACCTCCTCATGCCGTTCGTGTTTCCTGACCTTGGCTCGTTTTCGACAGTGTCCGACCTCGTGACTCACCTGTGTTCACTTGACGCTGGTTTCCGTGCGGCCTGCACTGATGCCCAACTTCTTGTTGCTCCCCCCCCCATATGGCTCACTGTGCACTAGTTAGTCATACGCCTCCCTGACCGCCTCGCTACTGCTCGCGACGTGATTCTCCAGAAGCACCCCACTGAGCTTACCATCGATCTCCTTGAGACCGCTCTCGGGAAGATCGAGAGTAACCTCCTCTTCGTTGCCTCCGCCACTGACGCAGTGCCCCCCTGTCTTTTTGCGGGGTGTGCCGCCCCTCAGCTTCCCACTTTCACTTCTACCCGCGCTTCTGCTACTGTGTTGGTTGTTGAGGTTACTGCTGCCGTCTCTGTCGCTGACTGGCAGAAACGGGGCAAGAGTGGCAAGAAGGGCGAGAAGGGAGGTGGAGGAGGCGGTGGTGGTGGCGGTGGAGCTGGGAGCGGTGGTGGTGGCGGAGGCGGTGGTGGTGCCCCAAGAGGATGGAGCCTTGGAGGAGGTGCAGGAAAGACAGGCCTGCCTACTGGCGATGTTCAGACCGGCGGGGGTGTCGGACCTCAGCAGCACCAGCCACAGCAGAGACAGCAGCACCAGCAGGGACAGTAGCATCAGCAGGCACCGCAGAAGTTCCAGCCTTGGGGGCCCCCACTGCTGTGGGGTCCGCAGCAGCACTGGGGCCCCCCGTCGCAGTGGGGTCCGGGAGGACCAGGGAGCACCGGCCGCAGCAGGAGCAGATCCAGCTGGGCCCATCGCCCCCCTTGTCGTGACACCGGCCCCTGTGACCACTGGTGCCTCACCGGACCGGGCAGCCCTTGTGTCTGCGGCCGCGACGACCACTCTGCCGTGCAGTGCTTCCGCCGCCTCAACGACCTCTACCGTGCCCTTTGGGGCCCTGAGGCGACCACTCCGTGCTGGGCTCGCATGCTGGCCCGTAAGATTCCTGTCTTTGATCTGTCTATGGATGATGCTCGTCAGTATGCTTTGTATGCTGATGTTGACTATAGTGCTGATGGATTTGTGTGCTCGCGTGTTGGTAGATTAGCTTGCTTGCCTCCTGTTAGCGTAGACTTGTGCCTCTCCAGTCTAGGTGCTTGTTTTTCTACTCTAGGTGCTTGTGTAGCTTCCACACAGGGTTCACCACAGGCTGTGGCGTCCCTGTCCTTCACGCTGGACTCTGGCACGTCGCAGTGCTTCTTCCGCGACCACACGACACTCACACCGCTCCTTCCACTCACACTCATCCTTCCTCAGGACCAGCCGTGGCACGCAGCTCTACCACCCTCCCGTGCCCTGTGGTCCCCTCTGGTGTCCTGCGCGGCCTCCACATCCCCTCGTTCACTCGGAACTTGGTGGGTGTTGGATACCTCCAGGACAGGGGGATCACCGTTACCTTTGTGGGGGGTGGAAGAACTGCAGTCTGTACGGACGCTGTCACATGCAGAGTTTTGGCCACGTTCAACAGGGAGCCGTGCTCTGGTCTCTACGTCCTCCACACCGAGCACTCCCCGGTGTCCACGTCACCTCAGGTCGCTGCGTCCCCCCAGGTTCCTGCGCCTCCACCGGTTGTCGAGTCCAGTCAGGTAGCTGCGTCTCCTCCGGTTGTCGCGTCTGGTCAGGTTGCTGCGTCTTGCTCGTGTCGGTCTTTAACCCACCGGACTGTCCTATGGCACCACCGTCTTGGCCACCCGTCGATCCCTTGCCTCCGCACTATGGCTAGTCACCGTCTTGTCTCAGGTCTCCCTTGCATCTTCCCGTCGCTCCCTCCCTCGCTTGCACCCCCGTGCACTCCTTGCATCGCCGGCCATCTTCATGCCGCTCCGCACTCCTCCTCTCTTCATTCGGCCACTGCTCCCTTCCAAACACTCCACTTGGATGTCTGGGGCCCTGCACCTACGCTGGGACCTGAGAGGGAGCGCTACTTTCTGGTGGTCGTCGACGAATTCTCCAGGTACACCACGGTGTTTCCTCTCACGAAGAAGTCCGAGGTGACTTCTACGCTGATCCGGTGGCTTCTAGCCACTGAGGGCATTCGTGGCCGTCGTGTCTCCTGTCTCCACTCTGACCGTGGGGGTGAGTTTTGCTCAGGCATTCTTGCCGGATTTTGCGGCGAGCAGGGCACTGTACAGTCCTGGACACTGCCGGAGTCCCCACATCAGAATGGGGTTGCTGAGCGCCGCATTGGCTTGGTCATCGACATCGCCCGCACGTCCATGATTCATGCCCGTGCGCCCCATTTTCTGTGGCCCAACACGGTTCGCTACGCCGCTCACCAGCTGAACCTCCAGCCGCGTGTCTCGCGGCCAAAGGCTTCACCGACCAGTCTTTGGACCAGGTCCCCT